AGAAAAAGTTGACACGACGGTATTTTCTGTACCCTTTTATTTTTAATTAGCGACAATTTTACATTATCGCCTTGAATAAAGTTCGCTTGTTTGATTTTGTAGGTTTTATTGTGTTTTTTTCGTGGTTTTTATGCTGTATTTGGTTGTTGTCAAGTCAACTAGTGTCAAATTGATAATAAAAACACCATTTACTTGTCTGTTTTACACATAATATTTCATTTCTCTGTTAATTTTACGTATTAATACGTCAATGCGCGTGCGCCTATAGTAAATTTAGTACTAAAAATTGGTATCGTTGCAAACGGAAAAAAAATTTTTAGTTCTAAATTTAGTACTAAATTAATAACTTAATTTAGTGCTAAATTTAGTACTTAATTTAGTATCGTGACATACAGCCTTTAACCAAAGACTCCAAAGATGTTAGATGTATTTATTTATGTTTTTGGTTAATCTCATTTTTCCGTCTGATTTTAGTGATTTTTTGTTGGCTTTAGCTTTTGGTTTCTGTTTATAGTTTCGTCTTATAGTTATTTGCAAAATTGTGATGTTTTGCTTTTCTATTTCGTACTGTGTTTTGCAATAATTTTGGTGCTACCTGTGGGTGCTACGTTGAAAACTTCGAGAAAAACTTCATTGATTCACCATGCATCTGCATCATAAAAAGACAAACGGGTATAACAACTAATTGATAATCAATTTATCACTGGACTAGATTCCGAAATCATTTTTCACATAAGAGAGTAATACACAAAGCAGTGGAGTAATACCACCATCTGTATTTGGAAGGAAAATACCTATTTATCATTGAATGAATAGTTAAAAGGATTCACCTTTTAATACAATACCTATATTACATTTGTCCTCGGTTTAAAAGACATTTATAAAATATATTATTATTTTAGTGTTAATAAAATGTAATATCCTAGTCTCTACTTCACATTTAAATTATTGATAGGTATTTTAAAGATTTGAGATTGTATACCTATTTGCTGCAAGTAAGTATTCGTTAAATATGTATTATTATTTGTATTTATTTTTATCTAATAATATTTATTTAAGTTATTAATAAACATATTTTAAGAATGTTCTATTTTATTATTTATTGATATATCTTATATTTATTTAATAATAATATGCAGAACCAACTCTCCACATCAGACCCCTGCTTATAACAAATTAATTCCTCAAATTTGGTATAATCGACCTAAATTATTTTGTAAAATAAAAGTTTCGAACTTACTAGTTCCATTCTTTATTTTATAAAATAATTTATGTGGAAATCATTTAAAATTTAATTTAAAACTACTACCTACTCCTAAAAATTACAATTTGAATTTACCGCCATCTGTCAATTGTCATTTTAGTTCCAGCTCCAAACACAAGGTGGCGCTAATTTGGTTTAAAAGTTTAACATTGGCGTGGGGTCTCTAGAAGATACGTGCTTTGTGGTTCCTATCTTCCCTCCTCCATATCTATGGGCTACTGTCGTATTTACATCTGAGTTAGTAATCTATTGCTGCGTTTGAGAATCCACATCGGATGCATCTGAGATGTAAAAAATCTTTGATCACGTGATGCAGTATACGTAAATGTAATGGGACAGATGTGTCCGATGTGGATAAAAAAACGCTCGAGATGTAAAAAATGCATCCGATGTGGATTCTCAAACGCAGCAAATGTAACTATATATCATATGATAGGCGAGTTCGGTCAGTCAGGGGCTGGAGCGGGACAAATTTTAGGGTGCGTTTAAATGACATTTAAGCGTGTTAAACTGTCACTAATCGGACTAAACCGAACGCTAAAAGAGTCGTTTGGAGTTAAAAGTGTTAAAGGAGTTAAAGGAACGTGGCAAACCGAACGCAATGGATATATCATTGGCTGCGTTCATCCGCGCCACATGCTACGTGATCGATCTGGTAGCGCTCTCGAGTGGCACGTATGAACGGTGTATTTTGACATTTCGCTCAAGGAGCGGCCGCCATTAAAAGTAGCGCATTTTATTTACGTCTGATCGGTGATCACTGATCTGTCTTATGCACTTAGGTCCACGGTTTGCTTGGTGACTAGTAGGGTTATATTAGCATATTAGCAATTGAAAAATAAACAAACAAATCTTCAACCAGAGACATTCAACTCAAAAATAAAATGAATAAACCAAAATCAAATGTCACTTTTAAACATGGTTCATCCGTGCATAAAGATCGATCAGGTAGCGTAAGTGATCGCTACTTTTGTAGCGCTCCTTGAAATGGCGCGGATGAACGCAGCCATTGCTTCCAGTTGATGTTTGAAGTCTGCCGTGTCATCGGTCAATTGTCATTTTATTTTTCGTGTTTTGTTGTTTGTATTTAGGCCATTTAAGGTGCATAATAGAATATATTTTGTACAAGAAAAGAAACATTTACATCCTAATTAGAAAACTGATAACTAGTATCGTTTATTTAATTGTTATATATTAATGATGAATATGAAACAAGAACAACGTTTATATATTCGTAAAAGTATTTTCCAAAACGCACCTGATCTTATTACTGAACAAATGTATAAAGAGGAAGATGACGATGTTTTTGATGAATTTGAAACCAGCACGCCGGGAAAAAATGTTGAAATTAAAGAAGAAATTATCGAATGTGAAGAATCTAAAATTGATCAAAGTTCGGATTTGCTGCCAGAAAATAACAGTGATTTTATGCGTGAAAAAAAAGTGCGATTTACTGCTACAATTATTAAAAGAGAACTCGAGAACACTAGTGAAGTTAAAGCTACGGATATCACAAATATCAAGGAAGATATTGATGAATATATTCAGTCTAAAGTTGAAAGTTTGACTACACATTGTGATTTACCGACTTTGAAAATTGAAGATACTGAATATCAAGAAAGCTTGACAGAGTTGTGTGATAGCAAAGAAAATGAAAAGATGTCAAATATGTTAAAAAATGACGCAAATGTTACAAATATAAAAAAGAGAAGGAAAAAGTATCGCTGTCAAAAAAGTAAGTGCTTATTAAGGGTATGGTTCGTTATTAACCGAAATATCACTTAGTCGGTTCAAAACTAACCTCTCTGCTTGACATTCCTGAAAAATTGGTTAAATTAGGGACACCGTTACCTGAAAAAGGTGACTCAAATGTCAATTTTCTAACTGCTATATTTTTACGGTTACTATTAAGTCGAATTTTAATTTGTCACAAAAGTGACGTAAATCGGCATTGGTCCAAATATAACCAAGAAAGTAAAGCTATATTCGGGCAGTCGACTGGTTTAAATATATTTCATGCAGCTTGAAAACGGTTTGTACTATTCTCATTTGAGTAACCAAACAATGACGTCACATTGAATTAGGTTTAAACCAGCTGCATCTGTTTTTGAAACGTTTCATTAAGAACAGTTCAAGGAAATACAAATGTCATCAATGTCAAAAATAGTATGGAACATCATAGAGCAGAGCATACATAATCAAATTAATGATAAAAAAGATGATTTATGGTTATAAGAAAAATTAGAAAATGCATAATTATGAAGGTCTATAATTTTAATAATTTTTGACAACATGATCCTGTAATTCTAAGTAACTGGTTACAGTTGGATTCTAAATAACGATCTACTTTGCATAAAACTCTGGTAATATTATAATATGAGCTTCTTTTTGACATAGGCAAAATATTATCTGTTGCTAGAGATTTACAAACTCACAAATCGTGTACTGTCAGTGACATCACTGTTTTAAAATCATCTATTTGAACGCTTTCAAAATCTATGACATAGTATCAAAACTGGTTCTAATAGTTGTTAAAAATATTTTTAAACCAAAGAGACCGCTCGAATATGGCTTAGTTCTTTTTCAGGAACCGCAGTCAAAAAATCCTGGTTACTTGCAGTTAGTAGTCCGTTAATAATGGACCATGCCCTAAATTATTATCAAAGCTGAACTAGGCTAAATTTTTAGACCTGAAAATTATGTTTCTTAAGGTGCTGATTTTGCTTTACTTAATTATTAACATATCTATAAATTTAAGGATTTTAAAATAACACCATTTATACAGAAAATTTAATCATAAACATAAAATGTGACAAATCATTAATAATAATAATACTTTATTTGCTCTTTATCATTTACATGATTTAATAATAATAATAATAATAATAGCCTTTATTGCCCAACATATATAAATCTCTTTACAGAGCAACCTAATACATTATTAACAAAATAAGTAGTAAAGGTGACATGATAATTAAAAAATTATAAAATAAAAAGAATCATATAAAAAACCAATAAAAATAAAAAATAAAATAGAATAAAATGAAAAACTCAATCATTGCCATAATAGTTACAAGCAATTGCTTTCATACTTATCAAACTAACATTGAAGATATCCGAAGAATTACAGTACAGGTTAAAAGTTATTACACATGACATTGAGAGGTGAGCTTAATAGAATATTTGTTCTAGATCTAATTCAGTAAAATGTTAAATGATGTCTGTTATTATACTGTGGAACCTTTAAATGAATTTTAGCCAAGATAGCAGGACAGTCAACCCATTCATGATATTATGTAAACAAGTCAATGAAGCTGGTGTTAAAACTGTCCAAAAGTAGCTGATAATCAATTCCTCTTGGCAAGTAGACACCATTTACTTTGAATGATAAGTATTTAAAAAACTTTCTTTGAACAGATTCAACCTAGTTATATGAACATTATAATAAGGATACCAGATAGCTAAACAGTACTCAAGCTTAGTGCAGATGTATGAATAATATAAAGTCTTTAATGCTCCAATATCCTTGAACTCACGAGAGTTTCATATAACAAAACCATACATTTTTTTGCATCAGCATTGTCGAAAAAGAAATACATATGTCTGAATATAAAATGAGAATAAAAAATACAGATATGGAGTGTACATATAGGTTGTAAATATTCGTATCTTTTTAGTATTCGGATAATACCTACGCATTCGGAACCAAGAGATATTCAGATTCATCATCCGGATACGTATCCATATTCCGTGTGTGAAATCATAATAGGTTTGTTCGGGTTTCCACTGTTTCCAGAATGGGAACTATTACAAAACTGCGCAGAACTGCGTACGCAGTAAACGAAATCCTGAACGATTCATCACAGTTCTTTAGTTCGAAAAAAACAAAACGCTCAAAAATCCAAATGATTGTTTTTGTTGTTATTAAGTGATACTAGGTGGCGCATTGTACTTCTTCTGTTTTGTTTTTTACTTATATCTTGCAGGACGATGGCGACTGTGCACTGAACGCATTATTGTTTTCTTTATCTAAAATCTATGTTCTTTGTTAATATTTAGTTGTTACCGTTAATCAGATGTCATTAAGTTTTTATCAGCACAGTTATCACCAGTAGTTTATCATTTATTTCGTTGTTTGTAGAGTTAGTTATCTTGTATTTTGTTTTTCTCCTGTTGATCCCGTTTTTATCTAGTCTTTTTTATATAGTTTATAGTTTTTATCTTGTTTTTTTTTTATCTGGGCGTCAAAAATAATTTGTTGACAATGAGTCATCAAACTCGAGATGAAACTAATCAATTTTTAAATGAGTTTCTCAATTTTGAGAAGAAGGATGAAGAAAGTTTTTTTACCAGGGAGAAAATATTATATCTTCTAAATTTACATAAAATAAATAAGACAAAAGTTGAGTCTGGCAATTTAAAAAATATGAAGGTGTTGTGGGAGGTAGTGGCCAGAGATATTTCCAATAAATATCGTGTTACCGTTATGCCACATAAATGTGAAAATAAATTTAAAGTGCTGGAAAGGAACTATAAAAAAACCAAAGATAATAACAATAAGACAGGGAGAGGTAGACGAACGTTTGAGTTCGAAAGAGAGTTTGATGAATTGTATGGAAAAAAACAACAAATTTAAATCCACAAACTCTCGTGTAATCAACTTCTACATTTCACCCTGCAGCATCTACCTCGACCTTTCGCCCTGGAGCTTCTACTTCAATATTTCATCAGGTGGCATCTACCTCCACATTTAAGCCAGCTGCATTAAGTTCAACAAATCATCCCCCAGCATCTACCTCAAAAATTCAGGATGACATATTTAAAAAGAAACGACATCCTAAATGAAATGAAAAATGATATGAAAAATTATTATAGTGAAAAACTTAAAATAGAAAAAAAAAAACTCGAAAAATCCAAAAAAAAAATTGGAAGACCGGAAAAAGAGAACGGCCATAATGGAGAAACAATTGGAAGAACAAAAAATTTACAATCTGCGTCATTAGATTTCTTTTCTATTTTTTATTTATTAAGTTTATTTTTACATTTTTATTTGTTATTAGTTTTAAGGAAATACTTTTTTATTTATGTTTAGTTTGTGTGATAGTATATAGTTTGTTTTCTTTTTTGATAGTTTGTTTACTTTTTTTATAAATATTTATTTTGTTTATAATGTGTTTTATTAAGTTTTAATAAAATATTTGATAAAAAATTTTAATACAAATGTTTTGCCCAAAAGTAACTATATATTGAAGATTGAGAAGTTTTGAAACACCTAAAAAATTATTTTTCTTTGGTAATACAATAAATTTTTCATTCTTTATGAATTGGACATGGTTATGCAGAAATGATCCAATCCACTCAAATCATGTTTGGAGTAAAAGTTACAATTCTCTACATGATGAAAATAGAATATATAGCGAGTAGTTATTCTCACTATTAATATCCTTCTGGATCATTTCAGCAGAATATAATTTGTAAATTTAACATATCGAAAAGCTTCTAAAGTCATTTCTAGTAGATTTGTGGATTGGGCCATTTCTGCATAACTACGACCAATTAAGTGAGAAAATTTTAATTAGTAAATGCAACTTGAGTGTAGTGAAAGCTAGAAAAAAAATATTAAAAACGACAGTAAAATTTTATTTGTATTTATTTAGGAAAAGAACTATTAAGTATTAATTAATGTTGCAATGTAGTTTCTGAAGCGATTTCCTGTTGGACTATCATTCTCTTCATCCACCAAAATATCCTCAAACTGTTCGACAAAATTGTCAGTTGTTTCGACATTAACATCTACATCTTCATCGTCTTCCAATGCCAAATTATGTAAAACACAACATGCTCTAATAATGTGACAAATTGTGTCAATATTTCTTATTTTAATGTAGTACAACTGACGGAATTTTTGTTTTAAAATTCCTATTGTATGTTCGACAATTACTCTGCAGTGACTAAGTCTTTTATTAAAAAATTTTTCCACTGCAGTCAGCCGCCCAGTGTCCTTGTATGGTGTAAGAAGATGCCTGAGGCAAGGGTATAATTGTCCCCACATTTTTCGGCCAAGGTATCAAAGAGTGGAGAATTCCTTAAAACTCTGGCATCATGCACCGAGCCAGGATACCCAATAAAAATGTCTCTTATTTTTCTATTATTATCACAAACAACTTGCATCTAAAAAAAATGTTAAAAAATACTAGTTAGAATTTCTTATTGTGACTATATAAGAGTGAAAATTGTCTGTTTTTTATTTTAAAGGATTTAAAATCAAATACATAAATATTAAAAAAAAAAAACTTCATTTTTCTAAATGACAATTTTTGAGATAATTTTCTGATCAGATAAAATTTAAAATGTAAAAAGCCGGTATTAGTGCATTTAACAATGTATGGCAGAATTAATAAAAATAAAGTATATGTACCTGAATTGAGTAATTTTTTTTTCTATTAAAATAAGACTCTGGATCTTCACTTGGGGTGTCAATATGAATGTGGGATCCATCAATACATCCAAGTACATTGGGGAACCCCATATTTCAAAAACCTTGAATGATGTCTATCTTTTCATCATCGGAGGGCCACTTAATTACAGATGTAGACAATTCAGAAATAAATTTTGAAACTTTTTCAATTATCCCATGTAGAGTACTGATGGATATGTTAAACCGATCAGCAGTATCTCTGAAGGAGGCTGTTTCGTGTCCAACATACCATAAAAATACTAAAATATTTTTTTCAGCTGCCATATTTTCGAGGCCTGTTCCAAATTTAGGATATACATTTGAGGTCTCAAATTTTTCAGATAGGTTATTTGCCAACTGTTTGGAAACTCTAGAATATAAAGATAATTTTGTTAATAAACAAATTTATTTAGCAAAACGATGTACAGCACAAAATTCAACTTTTTAATAAACAGTTACGTGAAATGAGTTTTAAATTCTTCTTCATTATACAGTTGTACAGTATCCTCCAAAAATAATTCATTTTTAGGTTGCGCCCTTAACAGTTCTGAAACCCCAACTATATTTAAAAGTATGTCTTCCTCCTCAGACTCCTGACTTGACGAACTCGAACTAATATTTGGGAAAAACATAGGTCTATAGTTCTTTGCGATAGCAGAAGGATAATTTGTCAATTATTGTCTACGTATAAAGATAAATTCACACACAAAATAAAAAAACACAATCACTCAGACTTCTAAATACTAATGTAAAACTAAAAATCTTTATTTCCTAATAACACAATACTCAAAACAAAAAACTAAATATCAACAAAATCAAAACACGTGAAGAATGAAACATCAAAAACACCAATGCAGCAATGACAAGTGACAAGGATAGATTAAATCAATAAAGTTGGTTGATATACGCAGGCGCAATAAAACTGCAGTGGGATTCTCATGTTTCGTACTCGAGACGTGTTGTAACGAGAAAGATTTTGCGATTCCTATCTCGGATATCGAGAAGGGATGTATATCGATCTTAAATGTCAGTGTCACTCGCTTCATCTTTAGGTGCCGAGAATCGATTTTTAACCTGAAATCTTGTAATTTTGTGTCAATAATATCAATAGATAATTATTTAATTTTCGTTTTTATAAAATAATATGAGGAGTATGAAAAAATGTTTCCTCCCAAGATGTGATAATGATTTACATTTATTATTAAATATATTTATTAGTGTTGCCAAAAATATGAAAAGAAGGAAGTTATTATTATTACACAGAAAAGCTTCAAGCAACAGCTAAATTATTTTAAGGTTTGTATAGTATCTATACTCTTTATTCAAATGAAAATGTTTTATTGTAATTTATTAGACTTCAATTATCTACCATTGTAGTAACGTTTTTTCTTTTTTTTTTAGATACCAGGTGATTTTGAAAACTGTTCATTTTTTAAATGATGGATAAACCTTTACATATAAATGGGTAGTACCACACAAATGTCTGCAAAGTTTTTGTTATTCACCACACCTCACTGATTCTACCAAAAACAGAAAAAATGTTTCTAAAAAGTTGACTGGAAAATAACCTACTAGCGGCGTTTTTATCTCTATTTAATAAAAATGCACCGGATCTTCAAGATGCAGTAGTAATTTGTGACATTGCCCCCTTCAGGAAATTTAAAATGGGCCTACTATAAGTTTGAAGGTGTATAACCTAAAACCCTCCTTCGGAACCTCCTGAAAGTTTTGAAGATAGTAAAGTTTTGTATGAATCAGAAGAAACATCTTTAATATTTGATTCAGAGGGATTTAATAATGAGCAGGTTATTCAAGACCATTGAACTCTCAAAATAAATGAAAATAAACTGAAGGTATATTTAGGATTTCCCAACAGTGTTTCTAAAATCCTCAATCATATTTATGAGAAGGAAAGTATAGCTTACATAAACCTTTTACATTTCTGTGTAAATTAAAAGAACTCATTTTGTAAGACTAAATAGGTACTTAATAATTTAATAAACTGTTTTTTTTTTAATGAATTTATCACATTATTTCAGGGATTATAATAAATGTATGCAAACAAAAATGTAAAATCTATGAAAATTTTATTTATTAACCTATTATTAAACAATAAATGTACCTGAATAAGATAAACGAAATAACAAACACTTTATTTACAAATAATAAAAAATATATACAAGCCCTAACAATAATGTAATTGAACAAATTAAACGTTTCTCTAAAAATTCATTATCAAATTCAACTTATCTACCTCAGCATTATTTACTTCAAATGTGGGAGAAACAGTGCAAAATACTTTATGTTCATGTGTAATTATTCCGTTTACTGTGCAACCAGCCAGCCTTGCAGCCTAACAGATAGAACATAATGCTTATGTAAGTAAATAATTTTAAGTAGTTTTAGTTTTTGTGTAGTCAGTAAAGACTATGTGATTGCAGAAGCAATATTAGTTGTTTTTATTTGTTAAATAAATCACAGTTATTTGTTTTACCTTGTTTCAATTTTCTTTGGTTTATGAAAACTTACGATCATTCAAAGGCGGGGGTATTGGCTTAATCCAATCTCTGAGAGAGAGAGAGTTGGCTTAATCCAATCTCTGAGAGAGAGAGAGAAAACTGCCAAAGGGAATAGTTGCTGTAGGGCAAACCCTTTCCCCGTCCTTTGAATCATCGTCAGGAAGTTAGGGTTCCTTCTGAACTTAACCCCCTAGCCGTGTGTTGTCTAGAGGCAATTTAAATACAAATTGGGCCCCTCTATATAACCCGTGGTTACCGCTAAGAGTGGACTTAAGGGTCAGTCAAAAGGCCTATAATCTCACTCTTAACAATATCTCACATGTGAACATGGCCCATTTTTGTGATCAGTTTCTTGTTCAGCAAATTTACAAAAAAGCAGTGATCAGCAGAGGTATGAAATCTCTATATTACCAGCATGATAACCAGACAGTTTTTAAAAATATAACATTAAGTAATGTTTTTGAAATTTTGGTTACTCTGGTAGGTTTAGATATATTATAAATCAAGTTTCCACTTTTAGTAGAAATTCCCAAAATCTCATAATATTACCGCTAGATATTAAAAAACTTAATACTTACCATGCAAATTATTACATCAGCGTGTACCAAAAAAAAAAACAACGTTCGTTACACTACCATCTCAACTTCAAAATGTTCGAAGAGCATGTAGCGGACGTTTGGAAGGGTAACAGTTCCGCTGGTAATACGAAGATGGCGTTACGTGTTGTAAATTAAGAGAAATTGAAGAGGTACTATAAAGGAGCCGCTAAGAATTAGGCAACCTTCCCCTACACACCAAAACACGCTTTTTTCACTGTGCTTCGCATAAAATAAATATTGTTGTAAATGACTGCAGTTCTGTCCGCGCAATACAAAATACGGTAGGAATAATAAAGGAGACAATAAAAATTTTCCGCGAGAGTACATTGCGTAGAAGACTTGCACCAAACATGCCTGTTTCATCAGATACTATAGTAAGTTATCTTAAGTTAGCGGCGGTAAAATGTTTTTTTTTTTATTTTTTTTTTGCTAAATCGTTTGTTCGTGATTGTTCGATTAAATTGGGCGTTTGTTCGATGATTGTTTTTTTTAATATTTTTTTAAAATTTGAACTTAACCTAGC